GTGGAGGGATGGGTATTTGATCATTGTATAATTGATAAGCACAAAGCACAAAATTTGTGATTTGTGGGTCTGTAACTGTGCCTCATGGTGTCTCACTAATAAAAAAAAAGAGAGAGAGAAGAAAAAACTGTTGCCCACTGTCCTAGTCTGGGATGCTGAAACAAATTACCATAGGTCAGGTAGTATAAACAATTATTTCTTATAGTTCAAAAAAAAGAATGTGCAGGCACATCACATTGTACATTCACTCTATTTTACACTCTACTTCCTAAATAATTGCTCTTGTGATCATAAAAATAATAAATTTAAGATACCTTTTAACTTTTTAAATTTTTTATTGAAACAACATTGCATTGTAATGTAAGTTTCCAGCAGGCATCACTTAAAATCCACATGTGTGTATGATACGTTAAGTTTCCCATCAAAAGTTCAATTCCAAAAATAATTCTGATATGATTATAAATGATTCAACCAATGATTAAATTGATTTCTTTTGCAATCCTTAAAAGGAAATTGTTAATAACACTGATTCAAGTTTAGTCAATGTACTGGAAATGTCTTTGAAAATCAGAAATTAAATAATTCATTCATCACTTAGAGATATTCTTAGGGCTAGAGAGATAGTACATTGGATAGGATTCCTGCATTGCCTATAGTCAACTCAGGTTTGATCCATAGCAGCCCATCAACTCATACCCCTCAAAGCTCTTGCATTAAACTCTAACTACACATATCTTGTCTTTCTGCAATTTGGAGACAGGTGCTTAAGAGAAAAGATCAAACTCCAAAGAGATCATGAAATTGGGTCCTAATCTAATAGGACTGATCCTTAGTAAAAGAGGGAATTTGGGTGCCAACCTCCCAAAGGAACCAGCCATCTTGCCTTCCAGAATGCAGAGCTGTGAGATAATATATTTCTCATCAAATGCACCAAGCCCCCCAGTCTACGTTACTAAGCAACTATAGTCCTTGCAGACCAATACACCCTTTTATACCCAAAATTTCCACCCCAAACCTGCTTCCTATTGATATCAGAATACTGATGGGATATTGTCACATCTAGTCAACAACACTTTATCTTCATTTTCAGTAAGATGTTGCTGAAGATTTAATTTCCTGATTAAATATACTTCATAAAGGATATGTATACCATAATGGCCATGCATTTCACACGTGTAATCTGCACTTCCATTGCTCACCAAAGGAGAGAATTTCCAAGTAGGATGCCCTGAAAGCATTTGCAAATGAAAAAATAACTCAGAATAGCCATTACATTTGATAAAATGCTAATAAGTCATTATCAAATTTTGCCACAGCTTTACATTTCAGAACTGAAACTGCTTGTAATATATAACAGGTTAATTTCTTTTTTTTCTGGACTATGTTCAAGGCAAATATTTTACCCATTGTACTATCTCGCCAGTCCTGAACAGGTCAATTTGATGTGTTTTATTTATTTATTTATTTATTTAATTTTGCTTTTTGGGTCACATCTGGTGATGCACAAGGATTACTCCTGGCTCTGCACTCAGGAATTACTCCTGGAGGTGTTCAGGGGACTATATGGGACTCTGGGAATAGAACCTGTGTTGATCATGCACAAGGCAAATGCCCTACCCACTGTACTATTGCTTCAGCCCCTGAACAGGTCAATTCTTAAAAGAGAGAAAAAATTATATATTAAAAATATGTAATTCTGGGACCAGAGTGATATTACAGTGGGTAGAGTGTTTGCCTTGCATGCGGCTGACCCGGGTTCGATCCCCAGCATCCTATATGGTCCCCCAAGCACTGCCAGGAGTAATTACTGAGTGCAGAGCCAGAAGCAACCCCTGAGCACCGCTGGGTGTGACCCAAAAAGCAATATATATATAATCCCCATCAGATAAAACCTGTATAAAAGAACTGTTCCCAAAATTCAGCTTTCTCATTAACTCATTCAAATTAATGAAATCAACGGAAAATCCAAATAATAAACAAAATAGTGCAACCTTTCAATTATTTTTAGGTTAAATGAAAATACAACTTGAGATGAAATTCAAATAACATTTGAAATAAAATTCAAATATATAGCCGGCAAGCTACCTAGAGTATCTCACCCAAACAGCAAAGCCTGGCATACTTCCCATGATGTATTCGATATGCCAAACACACTAACAAGTCTTACAATGTTACTGGACCCGCTCGGACAAATCGATGAACAACGAGAGGACAGTGACAGTGACAGTTTTTTAAAATGCTGATAATTAAACAATACCACTGTTCTTCATGAGAGCTTTGGCCTCTAAACGTTCAGACTGCTTAAACTAAAATCTCTACTTCAATAAACACTTCAGTTTGATACAGCCTGTCAAGGAAGAAGAAATACCAAGTAAATTAGGGAGGAAAAACTTTTAACTTCATTCTTTTTCATGTGTTGTTAGTAGCCTCCTTTGGAATAAAAGTTGTTTCTTTTAACACATTGTGTGTGTAGAGAGATCAATATCACACCAAAGATTCACCTGAAGAATCTCTTTGTCCGCCTAGGCTCTTTTTTTCAATCTCCACATGGGCCTCCAATGAGCTGTTTGTCCTGGTGTGGAGCAGAACAGCCTTTTCCATCTATTTCCCACGTGCTCCCCTGCTCCTGGTTCCTAGCAGCCCACCTGGATCTCTGAGAAACTCCTGAAAGGACCCAGCAAGTCAGGATCCTGCATCCAACAGCCTGAAGCACTCCAGCTCGGCCAGTGAGCTGGATCCCACTCCTCCCTCCAGAGGCTGGGTGAATCTCAGAAGAGCAGCAACCTTGGCTTCATTCCCTCTCCATCTACTTCCTGACTCCATTCCACAGACTTTGGTAATGACAGTGACTTCACATTCAAAGGGAGACTAGAGGTATTTGCTGGGATAGTTTAGTTAATGAATGTAGCTTCATTCCTTTGGTGCAAAGCTGCGTGGTTAGTCCCAGCGGGCATGATGAGAGCAGTTCTGGGAAGAATCTGCCTGTAATAGTTCTGTAGAGCCTGGTGCACAGAGAAAACCCCGAAGCATGGAGAATCCCATTCTGCTCTACACAAAGAAACACAAGGCCCCAGAATACAAACTGAGATGGAACTGCAGTCACTGCATTTTGGCTGAGATGAATTGGAAAAAAAAAAAAGTATGGGTACTATACTGATGTCACCACGTGTAATGGGTGCCAAGATAAACCAGCCAAAGACAGTCTGTGCATTTAACTTCTGATGAAACTGTTGTCTGACAGATAACAAACAACCTACCCAACAAATGAATGCTATTTTAATGCTTTGCCAGGGGTGGGAATTAGCTTTATTTTAACCTGCAGCCTCCCTTGATCACATTCATTAGTGTCTTACAAGTCTATTGCTGGGGGGCAGAGCCATAGTACTACAGGGAGGGCATTTGCCATGCACACAGTCAGTGTGGTACCCCATATCATCCCCTGAGCCCATCAGTAATGTCCCTGAGTGCAAAACCAAGAGTAAACCCTGAGTATCACTGTGTGTAGCCCAAAACCACCACCACCCTAAGTCCCTCAAAATAAGAATCCATTGTTGGCTCATGGTCACTGACATAAAATCTCCAGGCAGGCTTGAATGCAGTGTGTCTGTGTCATACGTGTGCTAACAACTTGATGCAAGGCATTTGTCTTGTGAGATTTGGGGGTCCAGAGTTTTTTATTTCTCAAACTGGTAAAGCAAAATATCTCCAACTTCATCAAGACTCAGGGTGACCAGTTGGCCATGCTTCCATGCACCTGGGGTAGAGAAAGGGAAATCATGAGACTCCCATAGAGTTTTTTTAGATTAAGAGGCAGGAAATTTCTTTGCCTGTCCTCAGCCTCCTCTTGTGAGAGCTGGACATGACTGTTTCAAAAATAAATTTTTCTCTCTGCGAAAGCACACCCAGGGTATTTGGACCCGCAGCCTTCCTTCCATGACCTATCAAACACCATTTATGTACTTCAGAGCTGAGCCAATTACTAATGGAACGAGGCTTGAGGTAACAGCCCCTGAAGTGAAAGGGCATAAGAAGGGTTTTTCCCTGAAGGACACACTTAGAATGAGAGTGGAATAAATTTACAAGGCAAAAATTTCCTACTGAACTCCTATAAATCTGTTTCCCATCTATAATTATGACTTACGTTGATTAAATTCTTACTTCATGCTAGGCGCTGCTCACAGTCTTTTATGTGGGAATTCAGTTAATTCTTTAATGGCCATACAAGATGGGATTTCTTATTACATGAAATGAGACTTTTTATTTTTTTGCAGGGCTCAGATGATGTGGGGCATGGGAGAACCAGGAGCACAGAATATAGCTGGAACTCCCACACACTGCGACATAGAAAACAGCCCAGAGATGTTGCTCAGGTTTAAAAGACATGCTGAAAGCAATGCAAGAGGGAAATGTAAATTTGTCCTATGGAAAAAAAAAGTTGGATGAGATGAATATTTGGCGAAGAATGAATTTGCACTCTAGAGGTTCTCAAATGTATGTAGCCTACTTCCCTTTTTTCCCAAAGAAAAACTGCACACAAAAATGAAATCTACCTGTTTTCAGCAAACAGAAAGCACATCCCCTCCCACCTGAGGCTACTGCTGGATATTTCCAGTGCCCCCCAGGGGTGGTGTGCTACTCTGGAAAACATTGTGCCAGCCAGAGTCATCACAGCCTCTCGTGAATTAGCATGGTCTAAGAAAGGAAGAAAAACTGACTTCTTCTCCCCAAACCTAGTGCTTCCTAATACACTAAGTCCTCACTTAACACCACCATCATTTCCTGGAAATTGCAACTTCAAGCAGAAGGATAGGTGACAATGGCAGGTTCTCGAATAATGTTTCATGTAACAAAACCACTTTGGAAGAAAGCTGTGATTTTTCATCAGGGACCTGCTGTCAGTGACAACTTCTCTTACTCTGCCATAATTAAATGCATTCCTCTGATCCACAAATAGTAATTCTGTACCTACTCCTTGCCAGTTTGGGGCAGAAGCACTAGGGATGAATGGGGAAACAGGTACCCTGGAGCTCACGAGTCTAGTGGTGAAGGCAGAAATGCTTATTTAGTTGGGGTCAGAGGAATAGTACAGTGGGTGGGCACTTGTGCAGCCCACCCAGGGTTTGATCCCCAGCACTCCAAATGGTCCCACCAGGAGAGATTCCTGAGTACAGAACAGGACTAAGCCTTGAGTGCTGTGTGGGGAAGAAAGGAAAGGAGGGAGGGGGAGGGAGGGAAGGAGGAATAGAGGGAGGGAGGGAGAGAGAGAGGCAGGCAAGCAATCATTCAGTTGAGTATGGATGCAACCGTTGCAGAGACTAATAGGATTTGGGATGCATTGGAAAACACCTCCTGAAGAAACAGGACTTAAACTAGAGGAAGGGAAAAAGCCAGAAGATGGAGACAAATGGATCATATAAGAAATAGTCAGAGGGCTGGAGCATTAGCAAAACAGGTAGGGCATTTGCCTTACACGCAGCTGACCCGGGTTCGATTCCCAACATCCCATATGGTCCCCTGAGCACCGCGAAGGGTAATTCCTGAGTGCAGAGCCAGAAGTAACCCCTGTGCATCGCCAGGTGTAACCCAAAAGAAGAGAAATAGTCACAGAAGAAGAATGCCTTGCAGTGATCACACTGACCTTAACAAGAATGTGGTTGATTGGTCTAGAAAGGAGCTGAGCCTGGATTATTCTGAGGGAGAACAGAGAGGTTCAGAAATGAAGATCTGAAGTAGGAGAGAAGGGTCACTTTCAAGGAGATTGATAGAAAAGAGAGGCGGGAAATGTCCATGGGAGGGTAACGGTCAGAGGACACAAGCATGAATTCTGTCTTCTAGACTGCCCAGTGCCATCTCTGGGAACAGTGCAAATAGTCAACGTGCACAAGAGGGGTGCCAGAGTGGTACCTGGACAGGAACCAAAAGCCAGAGTCACTTGTTACCATATAATATATGCAGATGAACACAAAGTCTATTATTTTGTAAATAACCATGTCTTGTACAAGGCAGTGAATTTATGAAGTAGAAAGTCTCTTGCTTCAATATAATCTTATCTGTGTTTTAACTTAAAATATCATTTGGGGAGAGGGGATTCAGAGCTGACTGTTTCTGTGCTCTCAGCATACCTTCTGGTGATAAATGGTAAAAATGTGATTCTATTTATTTGATTTTTAAATTTATTTGTTTTGGGAGCTTCAAGGACAGCTCAGCCTGTTCAGGGCTTACTCCCAGCTCTGTCCTCAGGGATCACTCCTAACAGTGCTGGGGAGACCATGTGTGGTGTCAGGGGTCAAATCTGAGTGGGCTTTATGCTAGGCAAGCATGCTACCTGCAGTACTATAATTCCAGTCCCCGAAAATATCATTTTAAAATAATATTTTCCAGGCAGTAGACTCGCATTATATAAATCAGGTAAAACAGAATATGATCAAATATACACTGCCTCCAATTTACGGTCTCCGAGTATTCTTATTAGGGGAAAACAAGCATTCATTCACTATCTCTTAATACTGTTACAAGAACAAATCTACGTGCTAATGAGGTGTACACAGAGTCTACCCTAATGGATTATAAAGATCCATCACATTCCGTTGGCTGCTTAGATTAAATATGTGAAGAGAAAATTAACTCTTTCAAGCCACCAGCAGAATATTCTTGCGCCAGAGGTTATTGCTGCTGCTACAAATACTTGATAAAAGCGGCATTTGCCACACTGGAAAAGATCAAAAGAGTAATTGGAGGCTGCCATTCTACACGTTTCTGCCCCCCTTGAAGCCTTTGAATATCCGGTCTTGGGATGCATCTGCTTCCATCAAAACCCAGACTCTCCCACACTCCCAGGAACTGCGTTCAGAAGGCAGTTTCTGTTTATTCTGAGGAAAGCTTGCTCTGCACTCTGACTAACGGGACTCCTCTGATTCTAAAAATCTAACCATCAACTGAAAAACAGAGTACCTGCCCGTGCACCCAAGGAGGGCATTTTATTCTTGGAAATCCGCGAAGAGCCAGATTCCAGGTGTTGCAAAGAATAATTCGCAGGCATTGATCCACTCACTGCCTCCCAGGTGTTTTCTCTGCTACTCTTTGCCTTGACATCTTGCCCACTCTCCACCCGCGCACACCACCACCACCACACACAAACACGCAGACACACACGCAAGCACACACACACACACACACACACACACACACACACACACACACACACACAATTTTTCTACCAGAAGAGAGCAAGAAGCAATGAGGAAACAGCACAACAGCGCGTCTAATAAATTCACGGGGGGGCAGGGGAGGAGGGTCACCGTTGATTCCACTCAAGAAAATGCAAGGAAGCCAACCTCTACACCCAGCGGCGGTGTGAGACCCGCTCCCTAAAATCCCATTAAAAGCTGCTCAACTTCCCCAGCCTGGACGCTCTCCCTGTTCCGCCAAAGCTGAGCCGCAGAAAAACGTCCGGGTTATTTTGGAAGCGCCCGGAATAAGCCGCTTCATCCCACAGAGCTAGAAGATGCTGTTTGCAAAATCTCTCCCACCGGTTTCTTTGAAGTCAGTTTTGTAACCGGGAGGGGAAAAGCGCTCGGGTCAGCAGGAAGAAGCCGCGGGGGGACTGGGGGCTCGGGGGTGGGGGGGGGGAAGCAGTAACCCCTCCTGCTCGAGCACCCTCGCTGGCTCCCATCCCTGGGGAAGGCGCGTCTTGAAGCGCTCCGGGATCAGTTTCCAGATCTGCTGGTCTCGTACCCGTGGCTGGGGGACCTCTCCGGGGTCGCCCGCCTCTCCCCGCAGCGAAGGTCAGAAAGGAGGTGCGGGGAGGCACTCGGGGGGCGCAGCTGGGGGGAACCCCTGCACCCTCGCGCGATCTCGGGGTGCTGGGACCTAGCTGGGCGGACCCTGGCGCCCGCGGGGGGGAGCCGAGCCGGGGGCGGAGCAGAGCAGAGGCTCAGCCCCCCGCCCGCACCCTGTACCTGCCGCAGCTGAAGCGCATCCACGGGCGCCCGCGGACTCTGCGCTCGCCTCGCCCGCAGCCGGCGCGCCCCGCTTCGGACCCGGCGGCCGCCGCGCACCCGGACGCTCCCATGGCGAGGGCGGCTGTGCCCGGGCGGCTGGTGACGGCGCTCGCCTGCCTGTTCCTGAGCTGCCCGGGGCTGCGGGGACAGGGACCCTCGCCGGGGACCCGGCTCGGCCGCGCGCTCCACCTGCCCGCGCTGGGCGCCCCGGGCGGCGCCGCCGACTGCCCCGACGGTTCCCGCGTCCTGATCGTCCGGGCGGCGCTGCGGGTGCCCGCGGGCCGGTCTCTGTGGCTCGACCCACTCCGGGACCTGGTGATCCGAGCGCCACCGCCGGGACCACGGTGCGAGGTGACGGTGCTGGACGACGACCCGCCGCGCGGCCGCCCGGGCGCGCTCGCCCCGCGCCGCTTCCCCTGCGCCTTCGGGCCGCGCCAGGTCGCCTACACGCACTGGGGCGCCCCGAGCCCGCGCAGCGCCCGGGTGCGGCTGCAGCTGCGCTACGACGCCCCGGCTTGCACGCTGGCGCTGCCCTTCACGCTGGCCGTGGCCGTGGACTTCCCGCCGCCCGCGCTCCTGGCGCGCAACAGGCCTTTGGAGCTGGACCCGCTGCGGGGCTGGAGCCCGCCCGTCGACAGGCGGGTGCTGGACTTCGCCTCCCCGCGGGCGCGGGGCCCGCACAGGTGCCGGCTCACTCCCCTCCCGCCCGACGCCGGCCCGCTACCCCAGCACGGGCGCTTGGTGGACGCCGCGGGGACCCCGCTGCCCAGAGGCCGCGGCGTAGACTGTGCGGCTTTTCTCCGGGCCGGGGTGCGTTACCAGCACACGGCCGCCGGCACCTCGCCAGGCCAGGACTGGGTGCCCATGCGGGTGGAGCTGCTGTTGGGCCCACGGCTCGCCCGCTCCGGCGCCCCGCAGGTGCGGCTGCGGGAGCATTTCCAGCTGCTGGTGAGGCTCCGCCCCGACGCCCAGAACCAGGCGCCTCGGCCCAGCGCGCGGGCCTCGATGGTGCTGGAAGTCAGCCCCGGCATGCTGGCAGCCCTGACCCCCGATGCCCTGGCTGCCGAGGACGCGGAATCTGACCCCGAGGATCTGGTTTTCAACATCCTCAGGGGCCCCCTCGGCCCTCCAGGGCCTCCCAGCCTCCACGGCCACCTGGTGAGCACCGACGACCCCCTGGGCCTTCCAGTTTTCTCCTTCACCCAGCGGGATCTGCGGGAGCTGAAAATCGCCTACCAGCCCCCCGCCGTGCGCTCGGACCCTGAGCGCCTCTTGCAGCTGGAGCTGGAGGCAGTGGACCCAGATGGCGCCGCCTCGGCCCCCTTCACCTTTACCGTGCTCCTGAGGGTCACAGACGCCCTGGCCCCCGTGGCCAGCTACCACGGAGGATTGCTGCTGTGGGAAGGTCAGGCAAGGGCCCTGTCCAGCGCCCACAGCCTCCAGATCCGTGACCAGGACAACCTGGAAGAGGTGACCGTGAGTGCAGTCGGAGGCTTGAGGCACGGACAGCTGGTGGTTCTCGGGGGCCAGGAGGAGCCTGCCAGGCGCTTCAGCCACCGGGATCTGGCCGCTGGGCGAGTGGTGTATCAGCACGATGGCAGTGACTCCTTCAGCGACAACATCATCTTCCGCCTCGAAGACGGGCGGCACCAAGTGGAATTCCTCTTCCCGGTCACCATCATGCCTGTGGATGACCAGCCGCCGCAGATCACTGCCAACACCGGTCTCCGGCTGCACGCTGGCCAGCTAGTCCAGATCGCCCCCTGGGTCCTGCGGGCCACTGACCCTGACTCTGAGGACTCAACCATTCGCTTTGTGCTAGAGGACCAACCCCCGGGAGAGACGCTGCTGCGTCAGGCCCGGCGTCCTTCGTCCCCAGAAAGGGAGGGCTGGCGCTACGTGGAAGCAGAAGGACTTTATGAGAAAGTGGTGACCGAGTGGCTTCAGCATGACATCACGGAAGGGAGACTCTTCTACCGCCAGCTTGGACCCCAGCATCCTCCACTGGTAACAGCCCAGCTGACCTTCCAAGTACAGGATGATCACGACCCCCCGAATCTGTCCAGCCGTCACTTGTTAACCATCAAGGTCCAGCCGGTGGACCAGCAGAGCCCAGAGCTGGCTCCCGGAGCCACCCTCGAAATGAGGGTTCAGCAGTACCAGCTCACTCCCTTCCGGAAGAAATGCCTTCAGTACACCGACCAGGAGTCCGATGACCAGAATTTGGGGTACACCCTCCTGACACCCCCAACTGACATGGACAGCAACCACCCGGTGCAGGTCGGAGAAATCGTGCTCACGGACTCCCCCGCCACCCCCATCTCCCACTTCACCCAGGCACAGGTCAACGGCCAGCAAGTCGCCTACCGGCCCCCTCCCAGGCTGGGGATTGTGCCGCGGCTGGTCCAGTTCACCTCCCGGGTAGCAGATGTTGCAGGCAATCATGTGGCGGGTACGTTCACCATCCGACTGGAGCCTGTGGCCGGCCAGCCTCCACAGGTTACCAACAGAGGCTTTGCTGTCTTGGCGGGAGAAAACTTTGTTCTGAGCAGAAATGAGTTGGATGTTACAGACCCTGACACGGACCTTGACTGGATTGTTTTTGTCTTAGTTCAGGGTCCCCAACATGGATGTTTGCAATACTTGCAGAATTGTCTGACCCCGGGACAAGCATTCAGGCAAGCTGATATTATTAACGGGAGTATCTCTTATCAGCACAGCCGAAACCAGACTACCAGTGACACTTTCCATCTGGAGGTAAGTGACAGGGTGCACCGAGTACCCATCACGATCTGGGTTTCCGGGCACCCCGCAGTGGCTGAGAAAAGTCCCAGGATCTTGCTTACAGGAAGTCCGTTGTTAGAAGTTTCTATCAATGTCCTGGAGCATGGAGCCACTGAAATCACCATGGGCACGATCCATGACCAAAAGAAGGGCTCTGGGGACTTGATGCTGTCTTTCGTTGTAGAGGACCTCCCCAAAGTAGGTGTCATTCTGGTGAATGGTTTACCCACAGATCGATTCACCCAAGAGGACCTCCTCGGTGGGGCTGTGCGCTACTTCCACACGGGGGGAGAGGTGGGTTTCCAGATGCAGCAGGACACCTTCAGCCTCGCCCTCTCCAAGAACTCTTACCAGTGGGTGGTGGGGGACGCTATCGTGGAGAGAGTGCGGGTGAGAGTGACTGTGCTGCCCGTGGACAGTGTGGCTCCCAAAGTCTCAGTGGGTGAATCCTTCGTGGTCCATGAAGGTGGAAAGAGCCCCTTGACCTTGCAACATCTCAGCGTGGAAGACGTAGACACTCCCCACGACAGAATCATATGCACGGTGACTGCCCAGCCAGCTTCTGGCTACCTAGAAAATGTAGCAGCAGCCCCTGGGTCTATTGTGTCCCGGGCTGGTCACCCCATCAGTGCTTTCTCCATCAGGGATGTCCAGGCCAAGCAGATCAATTACGTCCAGAGCATCCACAAGGGGGTAGAGCCCCAAGAAGATCATTTCACCTTTTATTGCTCTGACGGCATCCACTTCTCCCCGACCGCCTTCTTCCCGATAATCATCTTACCCACCAACGATGAGCCACCTCAGCTTTCTGCCCGGGAGTTTGTGGTGTTAGAGGGGACGAGCCTCGTCATTGACAACGCGCTGCTCAGTGCCGCCGACGCAGACTCACCCCCTTCCGCGCTTCACTTCCAACTCACGGCCCTCCCTCGGCATGGACGCATCCTCCAGCAGCTGGCTACAGGCAGCCAGCCCGTCCGCAGGTTCACCCTGCAGGAGATTCAGGCAGCCTCCACCATCGTGTACGAGCATGATGACTCCGAGAGCACCAAGGACAGTTTTGAGGTCTGGCTGAGTGACGGCAGGCACACGAGCCAGGCTAAGGTCCGCATCGTGGTGATCCTGGTGGATGATGAGGCCCCTAGGCTGATCACCAACCGTGGGCTGCAGGTGGAGACCGGACATGCCACAGCCATTACCAACAGGGTTCTCAAGGCCACGGATGTGGACTCGAATGACAAGAGTCTCAGTTTTGTCCTCCGTTCCACGCCTCAGCAGGGGTTTCTGCAACTATGGCAAAAAGGCAGAGGAGACTCGAGGAACAACCTCACCTTGGGAATGAACTTCACCCAGGATGACGTTGACAGGGGGCTGGTCTTGTACACCCACACCGGCCCACAGGGAGCTCCTGACCTTCTGGAGTTGGGCGTGACTGATGGCGTGAACACCTTGCCCCGCTGTTATTTCTACATCTTCGTGGGCAGCTCCAATCAAGTCTTCCCTGACATGGTCACCAAAGCACTATCCTGGGCAGAAGCTGACAGAGTGACCCTCCCTGCTGATCTGTTTAGCACTCATGACATGGAGCACTTTGGTGCCCAGCTGTATGTGAGCATCATCCAGGCTCCTCGCCAAGGCCACCTGGAGAGCTTGGACCAGCCCGGGGAGCCCGTTACCTCCTTCACTCAGCTTCAGCTAACTGACCACCAGATAGCCTATGTTCGCACTTCAAATGATAAGCTAAAGATGGACAGTGTGGAGTTCCAAGTGACCAATGGACACAAGGCTGGGGCAAGAAACTTCAAGGTCTTTATCACGGGCGTGGATGATAAGAAACCTGTCTTGACTGTCCATGCACTGGCTCTGCAGAAAGGGGGCCACGAAGCCATCACTCCCTTAGAGTTGACAGCAGAAGACGACGAGAGCCCAGATGACCTTATCCTCTTTGCCATCACCCAGCTCCCCAGCTGCGGCAGTGTCTTGTACAACAGCAGCCATCCTGTGACCACCTTCACCAAGCAGGACCTAAAAGAGAACCTCATCAGCTACTGGCATGATGGCAGCGACAAGACTGAAGATCGTTTGGCCTTGACCGTGACAGATGGCGCTCACGCCGATTTCTATGTCTTCCCAGACACCATCCAGGAGACGCACAAGCCACAGGTGATGAGGATCTCCATGCACCCTCGAGACAGTGAGATGCCCCGGGTGGCCACTAACAAGGGTGCTCCGACCTTAGAGCACCTTCCTACTGGACATGTGGGCTTTCTTGTGACCAACAAGTCTCTGAAAACAGAGGACCAGGACAGTCCCCAAGAGCTCCTGAAATATAAAGTGACCAGAAGACCACAGCATGGTTTCATTATCCACACTGGCCTGGGAAATGAGAGCACTCGAGCGTTTACACAAGGTTAGTAGCCATCATCTCCTAATGCCCCTCGCACTGTCCTTGAGCCAATCAGATGGCTCAGCTCTGTAAAGCCAGATTAGCCTCAGTTGACTTGCTGAAAAAGTCTGATTCTAAAGAAATGCAGTGAAATGAGAAATGATCCAATAGCAAGAAAGGCAGCAAGTCCCTTTTTAGCTACTTTATTAGAAGTCCCCATTGGGGGTGTGGGAGTGAAGAGATAGTAAAGTAGGTGGGGCACTTGCCTTGCATGTAGTGGACCCAGGTTTGATCTCCAGAACCCTATATAGTTCTGGGAACCCACCAGGAGTGATATCTGGGTGCAGTGCCATGAGTAAGCCCTGAGGTGTAGCCCAAAAACCAAAAAGAAAAATGGGAAAAAAAATCAGAATGTCCCAGTAGCTTATAGTTAAGCCCTTAAATCCATCTGTTTGACTTTGTGGCACAACCAGTGAAACTCAGGAGTTACTCCTAGCTCTAAGATCAGAAATCACTCCTGGTGGTACTCTGGGAACCATATGGGATGTCAGGGATTGAACCCAGGTCACTGCATGAAAGGCAAGCCCCCTGCCCACTATACTTGAATTGTTAAGGTAGTGGTACCGTGGGTGGATTTAAGGTGGACGGATTCTGCTTTCAAAATCTTGTCAGAGAAAGTTACATCAATTTTGACGCTCTCTGCTTAATTTTTGAATTTTAAGTAGAACCTATCTAGGAATCATTTGCATCAGTGAGTTTAAATTTCTGTAAGGCATGAAGATTTGGGCTGGAGCTGTACAGCTGGCTGTTTTCAAATGCCACTTCTACATCTAAAAAAAGAAATCACAGAGCTAAGTTGGCTACTGAGAGCAGAGGGGTACATATTAAAGATTGTGTTTCTTTTGTGTTGGTGCTTACTATGAAGGGTGTATTTGACCTAACTGAGCTAGCACAGAATGGAGGCGGGGCTCTCTGCTCTCCTGGGAATGTTGGCATCTGCTGTAGCTCACTGTTCTTCCCATCACCCTCACCTGTTTTTGTGTAGTCCACTTTTGCAAGAGATGGGAATTGATGCATGAAATTTTCCACACATGACACACAGACACCTTGAAGCCACTCTGAGTAAAACCTATGGAGTTTTGTTTGCTTTGTTACTTGTCAGAGTTGCTTCCAAAACAAATGAAACTACATGTGAGTCTATAACAACAACTCTGATCAAAAACATCCCCCAAAGCAAATTGTCTTGACAAAGTATCACTATCAACCCAAGGTACCACTACTTTAAAAAAAAAAAAAAGTGCAAGTACAGTGTATAGGGCACTTGCCTTTCACGCAGTGAACTGGGTTCAATCTCTGACATCCCATGTGGTCCCCTGAGCACCACCAGGAGTGATTCCTGAGCTCAGAGCTAGGAGTAACCCCTGAATTTTGCTGGTTGTGTCCCAAAAATCAAACAAACAAAATCCAAGAGAAGAGACAGAAAAAAATCATGATTTCATTCTCTTTATTTCTCTTTTAATACATGGCAACAATTCTTGTTCAAATACATTTTATCAAGCAGTTCATGACTTCAGAGCATTAAGCAAGTGCATTGCTTATGCTGAAGACTTCAAGTTAAGGGGACTTAGTGATCAGGTCTGTCGGCCTCCTGTTGGGTCCAGCCAGAGATGCTGCTACAAATAGCTAGGATTTTTAGCTGAAGTTCTATTTTTTCCACTGCAGCTTGGAAGGGGAAATGGGGCTTGTGCTCACTTAATATTGCATTTATGGTAGCATTCTGGTGCCCTTGCTAAAAAGCAATGTTCTGCCCATACTTGGTTGTCTGTATGTGTCATGATGACATGTGTGCCACTCTCTTTTATCAGCTGACATTGATGAGAGAAGGGTCCTCTACGTCTTGAAGGAGGGCAGCAGTGCCACCCAGGATGTCTTCTACTTCTCTGTTGCAGACAATGGTAAGTGCATATTGCATATGAAAACCTTCAAGGAAACATGGTTCATGCCAATGAACATGAAGTTGATGAAATGTACCGTATCATTTACACACTCATCACACTCAGTCCTGTCAAAATACCAGCAGAGAAGTTGCTCTTGTTTTCATGTATGGGCCTCTGTCCAGTGATTCTTGACAGATCTCTTTCAAGGAAGGGAAAGTAATCAGGGATTTCTGTCGCAAGACATGAAATATTTTCCCTGACCTGAATTAAGAGTGTTCTCTTATAGACAAGTAAATCTCTTCAGGAGTCCAGCACCTCCCTGGAAGTGGTTGTCATTCTGGAACAAATGACAAAATCCACTTGGCGATGTTGGCAGGGTTTCTGGCTCCTGAACTAAATCTTCTTTGATCTCAAAATTGGGATCTTTCTGGATGAGGCAGAAGATCCAGTGCGAGGCAGAGAGGAGCACTCACTTTAAAACAAACACAAACGCCTGTGTCCTGCAGCATGCTGGGAAGCAACTGGTTAATAGAAGCCACTTTCTTTACACAGCTGGGAATATGCTGATTATGTGGTCAAAGAAAAATCATTTTGCAGAATGTCAGGATAATTGCAGAAATTATGTTCATGGGCTGCTTGCCACTCAATAACCTCTGCAGTATAAATCATTGTTCATTCCCAGTGAGTCGCGCTTCTGCTTAAATCATGTGTCATCAGTCAAGATTGAATTTACTGCAAAACAGTGCTAGATGAGATGTCTTATGGTATACTAAGTTTGACTCCAGACTTGTCCCCTGTGACCTTGAACCAGTTGCCTTTTCCTCTTTGTAATTCATTTCCCTCATCTATTAAATGCTGGTCTTCATCACTTTTTCAAAAGCTTAGTAAGAGGATTTAGTGAGATATCAAATATAAAGCATTTGGCACAAAGTAGATGCTCATCAATAACGTCTCCCTTTCTGATGAGACTAACTACAGTGGGTGCCACTGAGCCTGCCTCCAGTTTTAAACTTCTTAAAAGTTTAAAAACAGGTTTTGTGGCTAGGCATGTGGTTCAGTGATTGAATATATGCCTCCTCAGTTACTAAAAATATGAAGATGCATGGGCTACAGAGGTAGTGTAGTGGTAAATCACACCCAGCAGACGTGGATTTGAACCGCTTTGAAGAGACAGAATTCTGGAAGGGTGTCAGAGGATTGTCACACTGCCATTCCTAACCCAGTAAGTACAGGGTTGGTCACGCCCTGTGCTTCAGTGTGTTAAGAGCAGTGAGACACGGGTTCTATGATGCATGAGACCACATATGTTCTTATTGAATCTTAAGATAACAACTCATATCTATAAGCTGATTAAGTGTGTATGTATGTATGTATGTATGTAAGTATGTATGCATTCATTTATTCAGTGGATTTTTTTTTAACTGCCTAGATGTCATGCATTAGACTAAGATCTATGCCTGTCGTGATGAGCATTCTTGGAATAGTTGATGTCTACTGATGAAGGACTCAATGTCAATTTTTTGTATTTGATAGGTTCTCATTTTGTGACTCTATTTAGTTAATTTACCATTGGTAGAAAATATTATATAAATTGAGGCAGCTGTCTCAGGGCTCAGAAGTGAATACCTGAGTTTGGAACCCAGCACTACTTGGCTACGACTGAGCACACGAGGTGTAACCCAGGCAGCGCACAACATTGCTGGACCTGAGAGTCTCACACCAGCAGGACAAAGCATGGCCCTTTGGCCAAATATTGCTAGGAGTGGTTCCAGGCCCTCAGAGCACTTCTTGGCACACCCCACCAAAATATTTTAATCAAAAACTAATTTTAAAATAATATGGAATTTCAGGTCTATAGTGTTACATATCTGTGTATATAAGAATCAGTGCACCCACTACCCAAGTTCCAGCACCATCCAGCCACCAAAAAGATCCTCTACCCATTCCGCCAGCACTCAGATTACGTGGACATGAATTCTGTGGCACATGAAGTCACATTTGTTCTTATCGAATCTCCAGTTACTTGTGTGTTTACTCCCTGATTGTTGTGCATTGAACTAAGATCTCTGCCTCCCCACTTTCTTCAGCACCACCAGAGTTTTCGCCAAGTCTAGATGTTAGTTCTATTGCGGGGTTGCCAGTTCACTTGCTTTAGTTGTTTACATCCTACATGTGGGAGGAACCCGTAATTTTAGTTCTTTCCATTTTGTCCCAGAAGGCATGATTTAATCTTTTTTAATGGCAGAATAGCATTCTCATACATCACAGTTCCTTTATTCAGCATCTGTTGACAGGCATTTAGATTGATTCCATGTCTTGGTGATTGAGAATAATGCTGCTCTGAGCATTGGAGCGCAAATATCCTTTCAAATTAGTGTTTTTATGTCCTTCAGTTAAATGCCTAGAAGTGGTATCACTGAGTCACAGGTTATTTCTTTTCTTATCTTTTAGGAAATTTTCATATTATTTCCCATAGAGGCTATGCCACTTTATATTCCCACCAATGGTGTGCCAGAGTTCCTTTTCTTCACACCCTCCACAACACTTAGCATTTCCAATCTTTTTTAACACAGACCTTTATGGTGTCTTGATAACTCATTATGACTTTGACTTGCCTTATCCCTGATGACAAGTGATGCTGAATCTTTTATCATGTGTCTGTGGGTTGTCTGAGTTATCTTCTTTGAAAAAATATCTGTGACAGTCTAGAGGCCAGCTTACCCCTTTTAAAATGTTCCCATTTTTAAAATATTTCCTAAATAAAACATTGAATGAAAGTTATAATTTGATCTAATAATCATCATCATCTTTCTGATATAAAATACAGCCCTTTCCGAAAGGTACTCCTTTAAGTCATTTAAGCTATTTAAAATGAATACACATCTTTGGATACTTTTTAAACTTTGTTGTTGGTATGGGACCATAGGGGTGGAGCTTAGGCCTCCTCCTAGCTCTGCGCTTTGGGACCCTTGCTGAGCAGGGGACCAAACCTAGATCTCTTACATGCAAAGCCTGTTAGTTCCAGCCCTTTGAGATGTCTCTGTAGCACCTACGGATACATTTTTACCAATGGGATGAAGTAGAATTTGTTGTTATCTTGCTGTTGTTGTTAGTGGTAGAACTAAGCCCTTAGCAAAGATTGTGTCCTTCCTCCGTCACTGTGTTCCAGTCATGGCCTCCCAGATGCTTCCATGCTTTCATGAAACCTTTCCTTGGACTCTCTTTAGTTTTATTTCCCAAATAATTCCAGTTTTATTTTAAATAAAGCAGTGGCAAAATGAGAGCAGGTGTGAAAAGTAAAGAGAGATGCAAAATGGAAAAGAGATATAAACAGGAAAAGATATCAAATTCAAATTCATGAGCCCTCAAGGGGCGATGCAGTGATAGAAAAAATGGTGCACATGTTTCTATAACTACAATATGTTTACAGTCTCAGAAGCATAACCGCAATGAGACTGTAAAACAACTTGCCATTTGTTTTTTGGCTTTGGGGATCACACCTGACGATGCTCAGGGTTCACTCCTGGCTCTGCACTCAGAAATTACTCCTGGTGGTGCTTGGGGGACCATATGGGATGCTGGGGATCGAACCTGGGTTGGTCAAGTGCAGGGCAAATGCCCTACCCGCTGTACTATCTCTCTGGCCTCACAATTTGCCATCTTTAGGATGATGTCATAGTACGTCTATATTTGTTTATCTGAAAAGAGGTCCACAGTGTATTGTTAGGTGGAGAAAGTCAGTGAGAAATCTGTGTAAAGGATGATCTTGAGTTCTGTGCCTTAGAACGAGGTCTGAGGGTGCAACATGCATTCTCTAATGCCTACATCAGTCGTCACACATTCTCTTGCTCGTTTGCTCTCTCTCTCCCTCCCTCCCTCTCTCTCTCTCACTCTCTTCTCTCTCTCTCTTACTTGCCTGTTCTCACTCTCTCTTGCTCTATTGCTCTTACTCTCTCTGGGTCACCTTGCATTTTTAACAATAAAATCATCGTAAAAAAAAGAATATATAGCAAGATGGTGAAAACGGTTTATTTTTATTTCTTTTGGCTTCTCTGTGTTTTCTTATGTTAGTGACTTTTGATGATAACTGCTATCTGAAACAAGTCATTTCCATTTAAGCAGAAGGAGGACTTGAATATTATTTTCTTGGTTCAATAATATTGATTTAAATGGCTAGCCATGTTATTCTGACTCACAAGTAACTTTAAAAAAAAAATTGGAAGGGTTCCTTCAGAACCAGGAAGTGCAAGAGATAGGCAACTTGGACCTGTTAATCCTGTGTCAAATCAATTTTACATCGTCCCCTCTTCCTGTAAAATATGCTTTTGTGTCCCGGTGACTTCACTTAACTTTTTTTTCATTTTTTATTTATGTGAAAAGTTTTGATTCTAAAAAGACTGAAAGGACACTGTTTGCCTTTCTTACCTTACAAGATAACCTAAGTGACCTCTCTCCTATTTCGGAAATGGTGTTTTTGGAGACCAGACCTGAGACTCGGAGGTGGCTACCAACAGTTTCTTACTATGAATTAATTCTTTCAGAAAACTCAGTTGGAAAACAATATCCAGGACGGAGACATTTTTAGGATGAATTCAGTAAATGGAAGAATGGTATGGAACAAAATTGAAAATTACCTTAACGGCACACTTACTAAAGCCTTCGTTTTAGCTTTCCTAATTATTTCCAACTGAATACTTCTAGTCAAAATGTACAGACATTTTGAACATAAATAGCCTGAAAAGTTTAAGTGACCTAAAATTCTTGTACTTCTATAAATATTTTTTAAAATAAGTGCGTGTACATGGTTTAAAAAAATAGTTAAATTGCATTGACACCTAATCCTTTTCCCCAAAGAGGAACTTATCTCATTCCCTTACACACAAAAAAGTATTCGCATAACAGAAAACACACGAATATCATTTTTATTTACATAAAGATAATGTATTATGCATGGCTCTGAGCCTTACCTGCTTTTGCTTTAAATACATGTATACATAATACGCTCTATCAATATAATA